TTTTTTTTTTTTTTTTTTTTTTTTAATATCTTATCGAACCTTGAATGTTGAGATTGAACGAAGAAACTTTACATTGCAACTAGGATAATATAGAATTTCCAAGAAGCTGGTGGATTATATTATTTTTAAACGTAACATGAGAGTTTCAACTTTATTCAAATTCATCCAGAGAGAAACATAAAAGTAAGAGTTTTAGGTGAATGTTGTTTCAGAATTAGTTAGAACAATTTATCAAAAATTACGAACGAAGTAGTGCAAGGCAATATTTACCATGTTGCTGTTGTTTATCTTTAATTAACTGATTAAATTTAATTTAATATTTATTATATTATTAAAACAATATTACGAGTAATACTGGAAACTACTATTCCAAGAATCCTTGAATCTGATCATTCTTACAAATGTGGGAAAAAATAAAGTATGCTACGCGCACGATCATATAAAAATATTTCATATTACATTAGCCTAATGCTTTGTAAAAATTATACTTTATTTTCCTCGCATCATTGTAAACGTTTTCCTATCCTCCGCTGAATTACACAAAAATTGCACGAATTTCCACAAATATTCCGGTGAAAGTTTCTCGACCGTTAATCGCTGCAACGAGATTAAGACGAGGAAGTAACTAAAAATCCCCTAGGGTTTCAGGAGGGAAATTCGATTGCCGATTCGCGTCCCCAACGGGACAGAAATTTGCATTCCACGTCTTCGTGGGGGAGCTGAAAGTTATTAGGGGAAAGAATACGGCGGAACGAAAGTTGTCCGTGGAAAGACAGAAGGGACATCGTTGAAGCAGATTCCTTGGAAAGTTTTCCGCCAAGTTGGCCAATCCAGCTGGCTAAAAGAAACCAAGAAGGAGAGGGCTGAAGAACGAGCGGAAAAAAAAAAAGGAGGACAAACGAATTTTAATACGATCACAGAGTTTCTTGAATTAACGTTACGTTTGAAATACCCTGCATCAAAGATGTTATACTTTTCTACGTGCGATGATTAATATGCAATAATTAATATGAAAGCACGTAGAAGGACTATTATAAATGTAGAGTTTGAAATTTTATTAAACGATGAAAATCATCAAATTAAATTTCAAACATCGACTCTTAAATATAATAAAACATGAACGCGCGCCCTGTGCATGAAAATTAAATCGAAGATTAAATAATAATAAAGATCGAAACGTGAATATACGTATTAATTGGATAAATTAAAATGCAATTATATTAATCACGCGTGTAGTAATTCAGATGTTTATTCTCGTACGTGTTGAAAATTAAAAAAAAAAAAAAAAGGAACGGAATACTAAGCGTCAGAAGTTCGAATTCTTGATCAAAAATTGAAGAATGTTGAAGTATATATCTGAGAACTTTGAACTAGCCTGTATAGCCTGCAACTATTCTCCGAAGATTCTATTCGCATTAGATCATCTGTAGAATGCCCTAGGGGGCTGAGAGAACTTGCCGGTCTTAACTAATGTTCAGAACAATCGAGTTTGCAATTTAGTTAGTACCTGTTGCTACAGGAGAATTCAAAACTGGAAATTGCGAGACGGATTATAGGTTTCGCAGTTCCACCAACTTTCCGACAATTCCCCAACATTGTATGGCTTCATTAAAGTTACACAATACTGAATGCTCGATGTTGTAAAAATATTTTCAAATCGTTTCTTCTCATCTGTTGAGAAGTATTGTTGCAACCACTAATAAAATAATATTATTCTCTTAGTATTTTGATATTATAATCTTTGATAATTCTTAAGTGTTCTCGAGTTCTTTCGTCCATTAAAAATCATTGTTACAACTATTGATAAATTATTATTATTACTAATAATGTTACTATTAAATGTTACTATTGAATTTAAAAATAGTAGAAATATTGCTATGGAATTCAAAATTAACTCTTAACTAATATCATTGAATCATATTATAGTAGGTTATTTCAGATTACTAACATTTAGAATATTTTATTTTATTTTGTAATACATTTTCGCTGTATTTTATTTTGTGCATTTGTACATTTACATTTACAATAGCGATTGCTAGAAAAATTCCAAAATTAAGTCAAGAGTTAAACGAAAATTTGTTAAAAATAGTTTTCCTAATTTCCTACACAAACAAGTCTAAAACAAGAGCTTGATTTTATTCGCCTGGAAATTAATCTAGTAACTAGATGCAATCCCTTCAGAGATATTTCATCACCATTTCGGTGGCGATAGATTGGTAACCCTGGTTACAGTGGATTTGCTTGATTGCCTAAGGATTTGCTTGTAGGATCGGCAGAATTATCCTGCGAGGAGAAACAGACAATCTTAGACGAGCATAATCGCCTGAGACAACTAGTGGCTCTGGGCCAGGTCAGTGGACAGCCCAGTGCTGCCAATATGAGGGAAATGGTAAGAAATATCGCTCGAGTCAATCTTACCACTTTCGTAGGAAAAAATTACCATCTGTAGATAACGTGGATCTTTCTGCATTTGTGGGAAATTGCACAAACAATACTCTGTCGAAGATTTTTTTTTTAATTATATTCTCAATTCGTATGAATTCGCATGAAAATCTCCCTTTTAGTCATACTACGTTTTCAATCGTGTTAATACAAATTTTACACAAAGATCAGCTCTTTAAGAGCACTTCTTATCGAGGTTCAATTACTGAGGAGAACCTGTAAATAACGGGTGGAGAATTTTTTTCCTTCAGATCTGGGACGATGAGTTAGCTACGATGGCACAGAAATGGACAAACCGGTGCGCCGAGATTCACGACGATCACAGGCACATACGTGAGTATATGTTTGCAATTAATTATATGTTTCACCGACACTTTTAATCCATTAGGGCGTTTTTGAGTCACTCTGTAGATCAACGCTCTGTCCTGATTAGAGATCGCGTGAAAAGAAGCCCCGCGTGAGACAAATCGTGTGACCGCGATTGATCAATAACACTCTAGACAATTGGTAACCGTACACACACACACATACACACACAGAACTCCATTTATCCGAATTTCAATTATTAAAATAAAACTTTAATTGACCGATTAACCGAAATCCGACCAATCCAATCCACTTATTTAAACATGGACTCTTGCTGTTTGAACGAGAAATATCAGCCAGTATAACGAATCAATAAATTCCCATTGTATGATAGAAATCACGGTTCTGAATAATTCGCCTGAGAGGCGTGAGAAAGTCATAGAATGATTATTACAATTTTATACATATTACATTACAATCATTATTTTGGAAAGAAGATAGTTCATTGAACTTATTTGATTCGATAACAGAAAAACTTGATTGATATTGTACAAAAATATTTTGAAATTTCATTAACACTGTAACGAGGCATTTTATAAATTGCATTTATACAATATATTTAATAAGGAATTGATATACGTCATAATTAATAGACTATGAATTATTTACAGAATTTTACAACTCTGTTTTGAAAAAATAGGATCTAAATTAAAAATTATTCTACCAATTATGAAGGAT